TGTCCAAAAGACGTGAAATAAAAAGCACCTTTCCATTAAATAAAGTGTCTCACACGGCCCCGGGGGGTGAACAGAGGCCTCCTGTAGCGAATCGATGCGTTTTTGTAAGAAAAATATCCATATTCAAAATGTAATAATCACTTTAATGTAGCTTGCGCCAGCAGTTGTACACGGAAGCAGTTCCGGGCATATGACATATGTTCAGCGTTGCGCATGCGCTGCTCAGAAGTGACGAACGTGGAAGCGCAGCGGAGAGATCAGAACAAAACAACGGTCACTTATTAGAAGTACAAAACGAGGATTTGTAAAGAAGAATGTCTGAAGATTTCGATATAAGCCAAGAGGAGACTGGTTTTCCTTTGCTAAAGTAAGGAAACTTTGCTTCCTTTGCTCCTGTTAACAAACGTTGGTTTTCACGAGACTCACCGGTGCATGTGCAACGCTGAACTCATACGTCATCAGCCCGGAGCTGCTTCTGTGTACAACTGTTGGCGCAAGCTACATTACAAGTTATTATTACGTTTTGAATGTGGATATTTTTCTTACAAAAATGCATCGATTCGCTACAGGAGGCCTTTGTTCACCCCCCAGGGCCATATGAGACACTTTTTTTATGGATGGGCGCTTTTTATTTAACTTCTTTTGGACTGATGCATGCAACACCCGCTGACTGCCATTAAACAGCTTGAAAGATCAAAGACAATTTTTTATATAACTCCGACTGGATTCGTCTGAAAGAAGAAAGTCATATACACCTAGGATGACTTGAGGGTGAGTAATTAATTGGCAAATTTTTGGGTGAACTAACCCTTTAAGACGTAACCGAGTGAATAGCCGTGCTTTGGCTGTGTGCGCTCAGAAAACTGGAGTTCTCTTTCACGTTGTCACACTTAAATTTACCCATATGTCTGCTCTTCTCTTATTCCCAGACATTGACATTTTTTAACGTTTTATGAGACGTGCAGCAAGTGCATGCTAGCTTATGTTCCGCCGGATAGATCAGTACAGCTCAAATGTGTGCATTTAACCTCCCAATAAAGCAGGAGATTTGTTCTGAGTGGACATTTCCTCTAACATTTCCGTCCCGTTTTTATTAGTTGACGAAAATGTCAATAGATTTTCATCATAGTTTTTGTCATTCAAAACAAGTTTTTATTTCGTTAACGTCTCATCAACTAAATTAACACTGATCGGTGTAAAAGCAAGTCTCCTGTGCAGTAGACTTGGCATTAGCCTGTTGTTAAACTAATCAAACAAAACTCATTTAAATGTAACAGGTAGTATGAATTTATGAAAAACTAAATTCTCTAAACACACATCTTGATCCAGCATTACTGGTTTAAAATACACAAGGGAAAAAACATCTGAACTTCTAGAAACATCAGTCTTGTAGAGTTCAAGCACGTCCACTCAACTGCACACATGTCCAATACTCTCTTCCTCTACACAAATACAAAAACACACACTATTTCATCACACCTCTCCAAGAACATGGCTGCCACCTACTCAATCGAAAGGAGGATTTCTGTGAATATTGACGCCGTCCTCCCTCCCACCTCCACAGAACAAACAGTCCAGCCAACCCTTTGCAGTGCACACAGCTTCTGCACATGAACTTTAGCAAACGAATACAATAGAAAGAAGTATAGCAACATACAGCAGAGTACATTATAGAGAACAGACCGCACACTGGAGTTAGAGAAAAATAGAAACAATAAGAGAACTCACAAGGCACAGCGTGGCGGTAGAGGTTGTCACGTATGGTTTGCTGAAGCTCGTAGTCAGCGGAGGATTTCTGAAACCTTTGGCTCAGGTAGCGCTTCAGGTCTTTATTGAGTTTGTTTCCTGCAAAACAAAATGAAAAACACACGTTATTGATGATGAATCATGCGCAAACTCAGCAGAGTACTATTTTACTTTGTTTCTGACTAATTGTTTCACCACCAATGGATAAAAGTTCCTGCTAGTGGATAATGGTGCCAGCAGTGGCTAAAATTGCTAAAAAAATTGTAGCATATTTGTGGTTGGAAGAGGATTTGGGATGTTCCTATAGCTTGGCGATAGCAATGGCCACAACACAGGTTTGAATCCTGTATGTAATGCATTATATTCAAGAAAAACGAATTGTAAACTTGTCAATGGTATCAGATAGTAGTTAATACATTTTTGAGAGCAAATGGAAGAAGTGGACAGCTTTGGGATATAGGAGATGCTAATGAGTGTATTTATACAGTACTTTTCAAAAGTTTGGAGTTAGTAATATTTTTTGAAAGAAACAAATACTTTTATTTAGCAGGGAATACTGTCTAAAATAACAGTAAAAACTTACAGTATAGCTACAAAAAATGTAATTAAAATAAATCCTGTCGTTTTTAACTTTCTATTCATTAAAGAATCCTGAAAAAAATGTAACACGGTTTCAAAACTATTAAGCAGAACAACTGTTTTTAACATTAATAATAATAAAAAACGTTTCTTGAGCACCAAATCAGCATATCAGAATGATTTCTGAAGGATCATGTCATGTGACACTATAGACTGGAGGAATGACTGCTGAAAATTCAGCTTTGCCATCACAGGAATATATTACATCAAGAGACCTCCATTAAAAACATTTAAAAACACCCCCAAACTTTTGAATGCTACTGTACAAATGTTTATAATTGTTTACAATTATATTGTTGGATGTTTGCATCAAGTATGTCTGGCAACTATGTTTCTCAAATCGTAAACAATTACAAATGAAACACATTCATAAACATTAATTGTGGAGCATGAGTGTGAAATTGTAATCCATAAGACAGTAACACGTCGTAGCACACCTCCATTCACACTCATGGGGATACCTGGCTGCCACCTCAACCCAGTGCAAGCAATAGAGTGGGCCATGTGAAACATTTCCCACCCTCAGCTCCACCATCTGTTTAGAAGACACAGATCGCTTACCCAGCACCATTTCAAAGAGATGCCAATAGCCAAAAGCTGTTTATGTGTTAATGTGGTTCCACTGGGTGCCTGCACCAATGCCAGATCGGTCGCCGGCACTGCCTTCCCACAAACTCTCGATTTCTCACATGTACTAGTGACTCAAGGGACTTCCCTTTCCCGGATTAATGGGAATATTGCATTTCTGGAGAATTCTTTTGAATGGATAGTCTCATTAAGGGCAAATGAGGTAATCAGTTTCTCTCTCGCTCGCTCTGTAGTCTGTCGTTGATCAAATGAACCTGCGTTTTTAAACTTTATGAACATACATAATTGGTTGCCATGGTAATACATAGTGTTGCAAGTCCCAAATGCCGCCCTCTGCCCTTGAAGTTCTCCTACAGATGCAAACTTAGGTGACATAAACCAACATAGACTGTCAATTGTGTAAAGTTTACACCAGTCCGGGCTCTTTGAGGGTGCTCATGATCACCATTTTGTATCCTAAAAGAACAACAATTTTTCACAATAATGAAACAGATAACCATTTTGCAGAAACATTAAAAACTATTTTCATTTTTCTTTTATGTTTGGAGGATTTAGGTTCTCTGGAGAATCTGAATCTCTTTGTCCTTTTCTACGAAATAATTCAATACTCCTTAATTTTTACTCTCATCACAGTGTGTTCAAACTAACAATAATAACCACAAAAAAAATTTTAATACTGCAAGCAAAAATGGAATAGATTTAATATTGTGGTCTACAAATCCAGAGCCTTTATGTATCTTTAAAGTCAGCATGAAATGGAAATTCACCCAATCAATTTCCTACATTAATTAATGATCAATAACAATAAAGGGATAGTTCACCCAAAAATGAAAATTCTGTCATCATTTACTCACCCTCATGTCGTTCCAAACTTGTATGAGTTGCTTTCTTATGTTGAACACAAAAGAAGATATTTTGAAGATTGCTGGTAATCAAACAGTTGGTTGTTGCCATTGCCTTCCATAGTATTTTTTTTCCTACTATGGAAGTCAATGGCAACCACCAACTGTTTGATTACCAGCAATCTTCAAAATATCTTATTTTATGTTCAACATAAGAAAGCAACTCATACAAGTTTGGAACGACATGAGGGTGAGTAAATGATGACAGAATTTTCATTTTTGGGTGAACTATCCCTTTAATGCATGTTATTGATCTTATTGTGAATGATCCAAACATGCATGCTTTTAATTTTTATATTTTGACCTAATATTTAATCAAATGTCATAACCGGATCTTCCAGTGAAACAACAGGCTTCTTCTCTTGTGCTAGACTACAAGCTTGCATTCAGATTTGCCTCCATCAATAGCCAACAAATAGAACCAAATCCCAAACTACATTTTTTCCTTTATCAATAATCTGTTTCACTTGAATGCAGGTCACAATACGGAATAAAAGATTTGTCGCTACCTTTGTTACATCTCGATTTTAAGGAGAACACAAAGAATTGTTTAGAAAAACAAAAAAATGCTTTGAATATTTTTCACAAAAGTTAAATATATAGTTGTGTATATGATTTTGAGATTCATCTTTTCACACTGAGGACAACTGAGGGACTTACATGCAACTATTACAAAAAGTTCAAACGCTCACTGATGCTCCAGATTTTGTCTTCTGGGAAACATGTAAGTATCATCTGTAGCTTCTGAAGGCCAGTACTAAATGTACTATTTATGTGATATTTATGCAAAATAAGAAAAATGTACACTTAATGCATCATGTTTCCTTCAGGAGCGTCAGTGACTGTTTGAACCTTTGGTAATAGTTGCATGCAAGTCCCTCAGTTGTCCTCAGTGTGAAAAGATGGATCTCAAAATCATACAGTCATTGTTGGAAAGGGTTCAAATATGCAAAAGATGCTGGAAAACCAAAGAATTTGTGGGATTTTTCTGAAGAGCAGCGGGTAGTTTAACTGTTCAGGACAAATAATGGACTCATGAACAACTATCACAAAAACAACAAAAACAGCTGTGGATCATCCAGGTAACAACACAGTATTAAGAATCAAACGTAAACTTTTGAACGGGGTCATTTTTACAAATTCAACTATTATTTTCTCTTGTGGACTATATTTAAACATCTTTTATGTGAAATATCTTATTCAGGTCAGTACTAAATAAAAAATAACATGCATTTTGTATGATCCCTCTTATTTTGGTAAAATAATGGACATTTTGCAGATACTGCAAAGTGAATGTAAAATTTTGACCACAACTGTATATAATATCGTGGTCTTCAAATCCAGAGCGTTTATGTATCTTAAATCATTGCACAGAAATCTGACAAGGTTTTTCATCTATTAACTGAAAACGGATTCAAAAACACAGCAGATATCCTTAGTTACACACATTATATTGAGGTAAAAATGTACATTTAACACACAGTTCGTGTAACAGCCACCATGTCGAGCAGGCTGTACAATTAGCTGTAGAACAAGTAACAGCTCTACCAGGCAATGTTCAAGCTAGAAGGTCAGAAAAGAGCTTTTCTCTCCTAATTGAACCTCTGGAGGATTGTTTCTTAATCTAGCCACATCCAAGTCTAAAAATACACTTCGAAGTAAAACCCATTAGACTGCTTTTCTGAACTGCTTTTCTGAACTAAAACGGGAATAATATGTGAGTGTGAAATTCCTGTTGCGTTGGTGTGTGCAGTCTGGCGTTGACGTTAGCGCCACGGCATACCACTGTGAATTAATCCCTGCAACAGGTTGCGAGTCATTACTCAAACCTACAGCAGCCAGACTACACACCCACCCCCATCCATCATCCCAAACTCACTTTATTCCAATTAGCTGCTTACTAGTCCAACTCAATGGCAACAATGGACTCCTGGCCAACCAATGAAAAACCTGATGAGATCTAAGACCTTGCCCTGCAGAGATGAAGCCAAGAGAGAGATGTGAAAACCGAGAGATTGTGGAAAGATGCCAGGGGATACACTTTATAAAACAAAGGTTTTTTGGGGGGGGGTTTACAGTAGCTTATGTCACTACTTTCAAGATACTGCGATGGCCTGTGGTTTGTGTGAATATTCACAACTAATGTGGAGGCTTTTGAGTACAAAATGAGTTATTATTATATGGAAGACAAAACAGGTCTACCACAATTCCCATGTCTATATTCTTATAACAATGGTTTTCAAATTGAAAGGGGGCACAATAAATGTTGGTAAAAACTCAAATGAAATAAATCATAAATATATACTACGGTTTTATTCAAAGACACCTGAAAATAACAATAGACAACCAAACTAATAATAACAGGCACATATTTCTCAGCTAATATTCATATTTCTCATTCAGTTTGGCCTGATGAGAATGTTAGTGATCAGCAAAGTGTTCCAAAGAGCAAAAACATGATGCAAGCAAGAAGGAGGCCCACTGCTTCTGGAATACTGCCTTGAATTACTGCACATTATTTGTTCTGGTGAATAAAAAAGGGTACAAAAATGTAGTGCACTAAAATGTTTAGGGTGTCATTTTACACAGACCATGCACTTTTTACACACAGCGAGCAGATTACACAAGATATAATGTTATTATGTGTATTGTGAGCGATATGGAAATGGATTTAGTGCAGTGTAAAGAATGGCTCTAAAAGCACCTTGTGTTTTTGTGAAGAAAATATGATTATAAGATATTTTTCAAACGGGGGAGGAGCATAACTTAAAACCAATAATAACTACATTATTCACACAGAAAAAGAGAAATTAAATACTAGCATATAGAGAACCACAAAATCAAATTAAATGTTTCTTAAGCGAATCAGTTTTTCAAGCACCCAACTCATCTTGCAGCAATCAAAAAGCTGTATGATATCTGTTGTGAGGTCGGCAGTTCTGCTTTATTTTGCTGACTCTCTGCTGATTT